AAAGACCACGACACTTAGATTTGAGACTAAAAGACGTAGATTTCACAAAAAGAAATCAGGATGAATGAGGATGCATATCGTTTGACCTCAGTGTTCTTCCCTTTTTTTTTCAGTTTGTTTGTGTTTTTGTTAACAAACATAATAAAAATGATCATTGTGGTAAATGAAATAATAATTTGATTTACGTAAGAGTTTTTTTGGTTTTTTTTCTTCCCGATTTGTAAAAAATCCTTGCACGAGAGAAAGAAATGAATATTATTTTCGAAATCTGCGTAGCTGAATTATGGAACATCCGTTATTAAAACCAAAACAACTTTTATGAAGTTTAAATTCGCAGGCCTGTGTTATATTAACATTAACACTAATTCGCAGGCCTTGTTATCATTTAATTATGCATCATGACATAACCTTAATTTTATTTCATTTGCACTACATTATTGTTATTCAAATACTTTTTTTTATATAGTCTGTGTATAATTACGCATTGTAACATAACCTTAATTTTTATTTCACTTGCAATATATTATTATTGTTCTTCAAATATTTTTTATATAGTCTATGGTTTTCTAAAATTTTTTAGTTTTTTTATGCCATTCACACACAATTTATCAGTGCGACAGACAACTTACTGGTATATGCTTTAACTTCAGATTAAGCTTAATAAAAGCTGAAACCTTTTTGCTATGTTGATGGAAATGTGTGGACAATGCATTTGTACATGATATATTTAGTACATTTAGAATTATCAATTACTTTTAAAAAGGGTTTTACTTGCACTCATTTAAACTTAAAATTGGTTAATTCTGTTACTCGGTTAGAAGAGGAGGAAGGAGAAAATGCTGAAGATGAAGAGGCAGAAGATGAAGAGGAGCAGAATAAAGGAAATGAAAAAGTTGTACAGAATGATGTAAAAGAGATGGGTCTTAGTGGAACATCTGATGAGCTCCAACCTAGTACATCATCAGGAGAGAAACCTAAGAAGGATGATGAAGAGGTATGATGAGTATCACAAGTTTCTAAATGTAGTTGGAGTACACTTAATGTTCTGAATGCAAGGTCATGTTCATACTATACTAATTTTGGGCAGAAATAAACTGTTTGGTTGAAATGTAATAATTCAAGTTGATGTTTTTATTTTACATCATTAATTTATGTTCTTTCTTTTAAATAACCAAACCCACTCTTCGTTATTCAAAACGGATATTCATGTATTGATAGGGACATTACAAGTGAACACAGTATTACAGTCATTTTTTCCTCAGCTCAGTTTCGTATTTTAAAGTGTATTTAACTATAACTATAATATTATTCTTGAATGGAATATTTTAGCATTTTTAATAGAATTGGACCAACTGATTTTCATAGCTTCAGTATTGTTTCTCTTTTGTTCAGGATGAAATCTCAAACCTACAGTTAGCATGGGAAGTTCTCGAATTAGCAAAGCTTATCTATAAAAGGTATTATCATGTTTCATGTTAAAAGATATTGGTAGGAAGTGTGTGTGTGTGTGT